GTTAGTATCAATAGGGAAGATTATCTTCCTTTCCAATGAGCTAAAACTGAATCTCTCTCTCTCTCTCTCTCTCTCTCTCTCTCTCTCTCTCACACACACACACACACACACACACACACACACACACATACACACATTCTCAAAGTGGTCTCTCAGTTTCATCTATTATGGCGACACCTTTACACAGGCAGCATTTGAAGAGCATCTTCATCTCTACAATTCTATGAATCTATGATAGCTTTAAAGGACTATGCACCAAGATTTAGGATTAGGTGATGGAAATTAATATGTAGAACCTGTCCAGTTACACCATGGCCCGAAAGAGTAGCATTTGCATGAACAAAACGATGTCCAGTTAGATCAACAATGTAAATGGAAAAATGGCCTTGAAGTTTTAATTGATGTCGCTATCAAAGTAACTGTTACCAAAGTTTGCAGCAGGTAGATTTCCTTCTGCATGGGGTTGGAATAGATTACATTGAGGTCTCTTCCCAACCCTATTTTTCCAAGAGAGAATAAGAGCTGAAGCTGAAAAAGAGGCCTTTCACACCACATTTTGCAATTTATTCTCTCCTCTCTCTCCTCTTTTCCCCCCTTTTTCTTTTTTACTGCAATGTAGGCCAGTTTTGCTGCAGCAACAGGAGAGGGAAATGCCTTTGCCTTTTCGGCATTGGTCTACATACTTCTGTTACTTAGCAACAGCAGGGACCAAAAAGAAAGCCAAAGGATTCATAATTGCAAGTGCTTGCTGGAGGCTGAGAAAATGGAACAATCCTGACACTCTTCATGTTGCATTTCTGCCAGCTGGAGACCAGAGTGTCCATACTTGCACAGCCTCGTTAAAAGTTGCCTATAGAATTAGATGTTTAAAAACTACTGATGACTGTTGATCAATCAGCAAAGACTGAGCCTCATCCTGCCAAATGTTCATTTCTCTATTTTTCCCCTTGTAAGCACTTAACTGTGGCTTTAAAAATACACCTCTCAAGTATCGCTGCAGAACTTTTGATTTGCAGCAGTGCCTCTCGTTTTCTCATTCTGACTGCGGTTGCTGACGGTATTAATTTACTCAGGAAGGTGGTCTCACCTGGTGCCGCTGGCTGAAAAGAATTTCACTTTGCCTTCCCACAAAGGAAAACATTCCTTGCCAGCTAAGCAGCTGTGGTTGCAGAGTCGTGCATAGGTCCTGTTGAAATCAAAATGTATATGGAAAGGGATGGTGGTAAGGATGCAAGCTCACATTAGATGGATTCTGAGTGGAGTCCAGGAAGCTCCTTTCTAGGGATAGGGCCTGAAAGAGATACACAGTTTGATGGACTTTTTTCTGCTCTCGTTCATAATGCAAACATTTGGCACCCGTTCTATCTGCAGCCTACAAAGCTTCATGAACTTTTGTGTTTCATCTATATAGGATTGCTTTGTTCATTTCTCTTCTTCAAAAGCTTCGTTTGTCTACTTTAGTGTTCTAAGAACAAAATATTTCTCAGTGTCTAAAGAAAGCCATTCCTTCCACATTTCTTCTGTTAAACCTATCTCCCCCCCCCCCCATTCACTGACATGGTCCAAATAACCGATTCATTTGGAAGTTAATGGCATGCACTATGCAAACAAGTGCATGCATCTTGCCCATAACCCACAGGGTAAGATTCAGAGGGATTTTTAACAGTATAATTCAGCAATGCCTCATCACTTTGCCTTTCTCCAAACAGTATAAAGGGCAACAGAACTTTTTAAAAAAATAATAATGGGGCATGTATGCTAACTGGGACAGTGGTGAGTAATGTGTCTATAAATGGGTTCAGCCGAGGAGTAAACATCACATGGTCTCTGGCTTAGATTCTTGTTGAGTGGGAAACATTTCATGCATCTTTGGGCATACAGCACACAATTGCTTGTTCTCCGCTGGAGAATATTTAAAGAACCTTAGCCTAATGCCAGTCATGTAATTGCATGTAAAGGCCGTGAGTGAGGTCGCAAGGACAAAGGGCTTGAAAGTGGCATACTAAGCACTGCTAATACAATGTCCACCGTCTCCCTTTGCGTGTATGAATCTTAAAGTCAGTGTTTAATTACATGACAGACACAGCCAGCCAAGACATCGAGCCTGGAAGTAATCTACCCCTTTGCTTGAGATTCCCAGCACTGATGATTTCATTATACGTGGCTTCTCAAATGAGGTGCAGCAGATGGAAGTTTCAAATCTGCATTATTTTTTTAAAGAGAACATTAAACTCCAATGTATATGCTTTTCTTTTAAGAAAAGCAGATTTCAGCAATAACTGGAGAATACTGCCCTGTTATTGTTTTTAAATTGCCACTGACCAATTAATATACAGTACTTGAGCTCAGTTGGTTAGAGCATGGTTCAATCCCCATATGGCTCGAACCGCTGCATATTCCTGCATTGCAGAGGGTTGGACTAGATGCTCCTCAGGGTCCCTCCCAACCCTATAATTCTGTGATCTCTATGTTTCAGAAGAGCCATACTTCCTTAAAAGGATATGGCATAGGGTGTTTCTGGGGGAACATTGCCAGGACCACATGCTGCATTGGCCGCATGTGCTAGTTCTCTGCATGGAACTGGCTTGCACAGCCAAACTGAGCAGTATTTACCCTGAGCAAGGGTTAAACCCTGCAACATTGGCTGTGTGCACCAGTTTCTTCCATGGAGCCAGCGCCCACAGACAACACGTAATCAAACCCTCAGCTGATGTCACCCACCCATCGGAGTGATGTCATCTGATTGACAGGTGAGTGGGGTTTTGAGGACATGGCCTCACGGGCAAATTAGGAACCTCCAGCAGACAGTGGAAATGACTCAAATATTGGACAACGGAAATGACTCAAATATTGCTGGGAGTAAGGCTGCTGCCTTGAAATGGGATGCTAACAAGACACAAGGCATAGCAACCAAGCAAAGATAATACAGTATAATAAAACATATGTAATATATAAAACATACATATATCTCAGGCCATGAAGCTAGATTCACAGACTTTCCTGTATGCCTTTTTCTGGTTCCGTTTTGAGGCTCTGGATTGATATAATTACGTACGAAACCCTGACCCAGAATCAGGTCATCTACGAATGATTTAGCACTGGGTTCCCCCGAACAATACTGTAATGGAAAAATGAGAAAAGCTTTTGTTATGTCAAAGTGTATTTTGGGGCATCAGTTTGCTGGTATGCTGCTATGCATTAATGAAATAATAAAAGGAAGCCCTCAGATACATGGTTATTATAGATAATCTAACTGAACCTGAAGTTCCAGATATTTATCAAGATGATATCAAGAAAGCACTATTTGATGCTGCCATTTGTTAATTGTGATGGTGATGGAGATACAAAGTCTCATACCTAGAACTTAACTAATGGAAATTTAAAAGTGGCCCACTTTCTCTTCCAAAGGGAAGAGGTTATAGATATTTCTACATTTACTTAGTATAGAAATAATTCAGCATAATGATCTGCTTTCTTTAAGATTCTCTGACCAATAGACTGCAACCTATTTGCACTTTGATTCTATTCATACTTAACTGGGAGTACAGTATTACCTCAGGTTACGAATGCTGCCGGTTGTGCGTTTTCGGGTTGCGGACCACGCTGAACCCAGAAGTACCGGAACGGGTTACTTCCGGGTTTCAGCACTCGTGCATGCACAGAAACACAAAATGACGCCATGCGCAGAAGCGCTGAATCACATCACGCGCATGCGCAGAGCTGCGGGTTGCGAACGTGCCTCCCGCACAGATCACGTTCGCAACCCGAGGTATGACTGTAATTACCACTGAACTCAATAGGATGAGTAGATCATGATAAGATTGCACTCTTAAGCCTATTAAACAACACAGAATGCTTATTAATAAATGCACCCTATGCTGTTTATATTTTATATATAGCACACACTACACTCTGCAGTGGCAACTTTTCGCATTAATTGTTATCAAAATAGTTTACTGGCTCTTTGGGGCACATGATGTTCTTAACAGTAAGACTACAGTATTGAGCTAATAGGCACTGTGCACTTAAAACTGAGGACAAGCTCTTGCCGGTTTCAGTGTCATTTCATCCACCCACAGTTGCAAAGCTCACTCTTTAGGAGAGGAACAGCGAAGGAACATTTCCAAACGAAACTGCAGGGAGAATTTGTGTAGGCAGAGTGTAATTACTCAGATTGGAATGCAAGTACACTTGTGTACTCAGAATATCTCGAGCAAAACTTTAGAAGTTTCATATGTTCTTTTGCCTTCCTTATCAACAGCAGCCTTCAGCCATTAGATTTTTATTTTTTTTAGAGTAGATGTTCTTAGGTGTTTTAATTGGTTTGTTGTTTGTGCATTTGCCACCCTGGGCTCCTTTTGAGAGGAAGGGAAGGATATAAATTGAATATCACAATCATATTAAAAAACCAGCATAATCAAGGCCAGCTCTACTGTTGGGAAGAGTGAGCCAGCTGCCTCAATTTACAGGTGCTGGTTGGTGAGGAGTGGCAATAAAATGTTGAGGGATGGTGCTGTGTGTGTCACAAGAGCTCTAGTGTACTGTAGGATTTTGTCTCTCCACCATTGTTGTAATAAGATCCAACTGTCATGGAAAGGGTGAGTGTCAACTCAGTGGGGTTTTGGTCTACAAGCCTCATTGGCCCCAATCCAGGGATGGGCAAGCACAATAAATGTGACTAGTAACACATTAAGAAACAAAAACAAAAAACACTATGTGTATTTCTCATCCATATTGAGAAATGGGTAGGTATGGTCTTGTGGGACTGTACCAACATACAAGTGTGTTGGTTTGGTTACCCATCTTTAATAGTACAATAGTACCCATCTTTCAGTACAAGGTTGATCTGTAGACTTTCTTCCCCCACAAAGCAGGAGCTTGTGAAGGTTTTATGTGACTCATGATGTTTGTCTCTATGAATAAGAATATATTGCCCTTTAGAATTCCCATGTATTTCCTCCAAAAATGCAAATGAATCTCATTTGGATTTTATTTTGCAGGTCTGCCAAGACGCATATGGAGAAGCTAAATTGATTGTAATGAAGAAAGTTCACTGCAATAGTTTATATATTTATATGATGATTGTGAGCATCCTAAATACAAGAAATGTCATAGGAATATTTGCACATTTATGGACTTTCTTGTTACTGGTTTTGATTACCGTAAAGCATATGGATTATATTAGCTGTACCAAAGCATACGTGTACATATACATGAAGTGAATTTGATCATACAATTAGAGATAAATGTAGTATTATTTTGAAAGTAGAACTGAAATAAAACATTTTTACAGAAAACAAGCATTCATTTTATTCGCTTTTCTGAATATGCTCAAAAGAGCATGGTAATAAATATCATAGATATGCCGAGTATATGCATATAAAGGTTAACATTCCATATACAATGTGTGCGCTACAGAAGAAGCTCTTTTTGCTCCTATAAATGCCAATAAGAAAGTAAATACGCAGTTAAATTTTCTCATGGAAACCAGTGGCTCTTAAATATTGCTAACTTTATTGTGCCCAGTAAATATTTTATATTCCTTAACACCTAAAAGCAGTGTCTAGAATTATTTAACATGGATAACATTTTGCTGCTTAAATAAAAAAATCTAATGGCAAAATTGATGAAATACTATATGATGAAATTAATTGCCTATGTTTTGAATGTATAATATATCCATAACCTCAGGTATTGAGCCCACAAGAAGGAGCAGCTTCTGCGGCAGATCAGGGACCACAGGTTCCCCAACATCCACATTCAGATGTGCACCTGAATACTAATGTCATCTAGCCCAATTTTCTATGCTATTTTATGCATCAGGGGATCAGCTTTCAGACTTGAAGTGACAGTAAATAACTGAGAGTATCGGAAATTCCATGGCTAAATGGTGGAGACTTGCACACACTAATTTAATCCCTGATATATCCAATATTAAAGGGTTGCAGGTGGATGGGAGAAACTTCTGCCAAAGTACTTGTAGGGCTAACTGACGTTTGCAGCACTGAACTAAATAGATCAGTGGTTTCCAAACTCCCCCCCCCCCATGGACCAATTGCTGTTGGTCTTGGTGGACCACATAAGGATTTTTCAGCCTGCTGCACAAATTGTAATGCACTGTGCTAAACGCTGTATAATTTTTAAATTGTATTTTATTGCTTCTTTTATTTTTAATATATTGTATTTTATTATATCACATTCAAATTATAACTGTTCTTCACAGACCGACCACCTGAATGAAGCTCATAGTCCACTAGTGGACTGGTGGTCCACAGACCACAGTTCATGACCCTCTGAAATAGATCCCTGCTTTAGCTTCCGAGTTTCATAAGCAAACCCTTTACTGCAGTATTATTACATTGGCAAACAGGTAAAAACATTTTAAGTCCTCAGGGATGAAGAAACTCAGATGTGTTGAGTAGAAAGACATCTGTTTCTGGAAAAAGAACTCTATGGTCAAAGGCAGTTATTACAGTTTGTGTCTAAAAAGAACTCTGACACTACTAATAACAGGAAGGTTTCTCCGGGTTACGATTTTAAGACCAGATCCTTAATCACAAATAGAATTCAAACATTTTTTCATACTGTGATACTAAGTGCACGATCAGAAGGTTCTTGTGTACAACCGTTGCCTTACCTATTTCATTCGAATTAAGTCCTGAGGGTGTTATCCAAATATAACAACAGTTTACATAAAGCAGGGATTGCCAATGTGGTGCCCTCCAGATGTTGTTGGACTACAAATCCCATGACCCCCAGTGATCATATAATCAGGGATTATGGCAGATGTAGTCCAGCAATATCTGGAAGACACCATGTTGGCTACCCCTGACATAAGGCTTCAGATCCAACTTCATTAGCAGGTGGTTTAGCAAGTGGCTTTGGAGCTGTCCATGGTCCTAAACATTTTTTTGTTTGACTTATGAGAGTTCTGACTGGATACTGCCTACAGAACTGCACTGGAGATCAAGAATAGCTAAATAAATAAATAAACACTTCCCTCTGTCTTCCACTGAGGGAAAACTTACCAAGTGACACCTTCCTCTCTGGAGTAGAAAATCCATCCAACTGATTAATTCATGCAGACACTTTCTCCCAGTGGCTGACAGAACATCAAACTAGGCATGATAAAATGATCCACTGCATTCTTTATCCAGGAGTAATTTCTACCATCTATCTGTATCTGTTTTAAAAAAGGGACATTTGTTTTTCATTTACTAGACTGAAACTAGAATAATAGGCTTGATGCCCAAGATCCTTCTTCTATGTTTGTAGTTTTGCTCCCCCATCTTAAGCTGCTTCCCACACCCCAAAAAGTAGCTCCAGAGGATTGGGAGCCCCCTGGGACATCTTTTCAGAGTGAGATGGACTGCAGACGGGAGGAAGACAAGACTGGCACTTTCCCGAACCCCCTGGCACAAACAGAAGCATTTCTATTCAAGTCAGAGCAGAACATTGGATCCAATACGCTGTTCAAAATAATACTGATAGCATTTGCCACATGCTATGCAGAAAAGCAAACATCTGATGCTTTCAGACAACAACCAAAAATGATTTATTCTAGCGAATGCTTGGTTGACTGACAGGATTATTTTTTACCCTTCACCATAAGGTCCCAGGGAAGGTTACAACAATATAAAAATGCTAGACTATTCAAGTGCAAGCCTGATTCACTGCCATGTGTGAAATATGTAGTTCCCGTACAGTGGACTGCCTTCTTTTGAAGAGATAGGTATGTTGGGGGACTTTGATTCCTACGTTAAGGAGAGCAAATTTTCCACACACCTGTTTCTGATGCTGCTCTAATGAAGTTACTTTTCCATTAATAAATATTGCTCCTCACGGCTACTATTAGCCCCACAAAACCAACTTTCATGGACACCAGTTTATGTTCCCGGTCCCACCAGACGTCAAATAAGAATGAGGGTCAATTTTTGTCATTACCACCATGTGAGAGGAAATGCACCGACTTCACCTTGCCTCTTCTTGTGCCTGCTAGTCTTATTCTTTTATTCTTCTTACTGAAAAAATATTTACAAGAATTGTAATGGCAAGTTCAAAACCACATTTCATTTGGTCATAACTTATGACACTGATCCTTCTTAATTATTTAATAAATGGAAACCAGCCCAAATGCATTTTGTCTCCCTTCATCAATCTCTGTATAATTAGTTAATTTGGACATGGAGATCAGGCTTGCATAGCTGGTACCTTGCCTCCCCCCCCCAATGCTTTCCACAACTTGCCAATAACCACCCACTTTATTTACAGAAGTATCTTCATTACTCCAAATGTATTGACTCACTCTAATCCAAGCCCCATTTAGCCAAGCAGCTCTTAACTTTCTCACATTCATAATTTAAGAACATCTCATTAATTTTTGATGCCAGACCATTTTTTTTGTTCCAGCTGCAGCGACTTCTTTAAGGGGCATTAATGTTTGTGTTTAAAAAATTGCAGTTGCAAAAAAAAAACTCCAACCGTAGGGCTCTGATTCCCATTTTGATGCTAATGATTTCATCAAAGAATCCTAGATAAACCAAGTATAAATATCTAAAAGTGATGAATTGCCTCTGATTGGTCCCTTGAATAATTTATAGTCCCCATTTTTGTGGGGGAAGATCATTAAAAATTTCAGGGTTAATCTGCGCCAAGCTTAGTCTCTAATTACTGCACAGATTACATCTTTTTTTTCTAAATTCCTGATGGAAAAGAGGGACAATTGAATTAACCCCCCTCCCTTTAAACTCTGCAGTTTGTTACTGCCTTGGCTGTAGTCACCATCCTGTTCCGTGCCCATTCATTCACTCATTCTCTTTTTTAATGCTCAAGGTTATTTAGGATGAATTGAAGCATGCTGTTCTTTTTCTCTCTAGCTAGGCTTGGCCTAGCAAATAATCTCTCCCGAGGTCACTTAACACTTCTAAATGTCACACAGCCATGAAAGCGCATGTGACTTGGAGCATCTGCAAGCTGCCCACATGCCCAAATGATACGTGAGTGACTCAGTCTCTAAATTTTGTTGGCACCATAGTATTCTCATTCTTCTTTAGGACTCTTTCCTGCATGTATGGTGTGGCCTTACACTAGGATGTAAGGATAGAGCTTTGCTCAAAATCTGGCAACCTCTGTAAGCAATATTCTCAGCCTGTTTGAGTAGTGGGACTAGTAGCATGAAAGCATACCGTATACCAGTGGTTGGCAATGTGATGCTCTCCAGGCATTGTTGGACTATGGTTTCCATTGTACCTGACCAAGGACCATAGTGGCTGGGGCTCATGGGAGTTGTGGTCCCAACATCTAGAATGCACCATTTTTCTTATCTCTGCTATATACACTACAAAGAGAACCAGTGTGATGTAGTGGCTTGAGTGCTAGACTAGGATCTGGAAGACCAGGGTTCAAATCCCTGTTCAGCCATAAAACTCACTGGGTGACTTTGATCCGGTCAGAGTCTCTTAGCCTAACTTATCTCACAGGGTTGTTGTGAGGATAACATGAAAAGAGGGTGATTCATGTACACTACCCTGATGTCCTTGGAGGAAAGGAAGGATACAAATGTAATTTTAAAATCTAAAGGAGGGGTGGCTGATCTATGGTCCTTCGGATGGTCTCATCAGTCCCAGACAGCATAACCAAAGGTCAGGGTTTATGGAAGGTGTAGTCCAGCAACATCTGGAAGTCCACAGGTTACCCAATCTTGCTTTAAAGTCTTACTTCTTTACAACTTCTTTCCCTCCAAAAGTCTAAGAGTTAATAAAGGTCAATAATGGGCTTGAGACTATCCCAGGAGTTGAAAGAAAAATCACAAGCGCACAGGTCAACCCAATTTTTGGAGCTGTTTCCCCTTTCAGATAATAAGGCATGCCATAACAAAAAGAAGCATACTTGAGCTTCTCATTGATTTTATAATATGAATGCGACACATTATTAATGCTGTAAGAGAAGGTGACTAGTTCACATAGATGATTTTCCTCTTTATTTACAATGTCAAGCAAATATAACAAATTGAGATGCTTTACTTGACTATTTTATTATCTTCTTAATTATACTATTTTAAATGTGTGTTTTATATTTGACTTCCTGTAGCGTTTTTTTAAAAAATGCTTAAGGAAATTATTATTTTTGTTAACTTGGCTGCGTTAAGTTGTTGACATCAATGTTTTGATTTTAAACTATTTAAGATAATATTTTAGTTTCTTGTTAATTATGTTGCTTTGAATGTATACTTTACATTTTACTTTCTTCAGTAACATTTATTCTGGATTGCTTTATTTGATGTTTTAAGGTGTTGTAAACCACTTTGAGATTTCCTCCCCCCTTAAAAATATAAAGCAGTATAGAAATAAAATGAACAACAGTAGCAGCAGCAGCAACAACAACAACAACAACAGGTTAACAAGGAGAAGAGGAAAGTGAAATTGAAGGCATTTGCTGTTGGATGCCAGATACTGACCCCTGAAGGAAATTAAGCAGACTGCTTTCATTTAATTTGTAGGTGCCAGAAATAGGAAACTTTTAGAGCCATTTTTCACCATTATATGCTACTTAGATTTTTCCTCCCTTCAAATTGTCTGGTACAAACGATATAACCATGCAAAAGTTGCATCTTTGCAACATGTAAGATGGACTGACCACATTTTGTGATAAATGTTGCCTGGAGGATTTTTATACAAAACTAGAAGTAATATTTTGGAAAAGACTTAGGAAATTATATTGGATCTTGTGTGCCAACAGGATTCCCTCATTTATGTGAACTCTTCTGCTTGTAAACAATCCATGAAAACCCCTGGATCTGTTGTACATTGTGCACAAGGGCCATTGGCACGCCACTGGCACAGATGAGATGCCATGAGACAAGCCACCCCACCAAACGCCATATAGGCACACATGGCTTGCTTTGCTCCTGTTTTCCACTTCCAGCTTCTGAGCTGTTATCTATAACTTCTAATAATAGTTTCAGGACACAAGGTCTGTTGAAATCCTTTAATGACCGTTTTGTAACTACCGCTTTTGATTTCAGAAAGAAATAGCAGGAAAAAAATGGTGGCCTTAAGTCACTTGCAGGTGTTAATGCTTCCTTTTCCTTTATTGGAGGGTATAATCAGGCAGCCCTAGAAGGCATCCTGGGGTTCCTTTGTGGGGCTGTTCTGTGTGGGAGAGTGCATTTCTTTTCCTTTTCCTTTGTGGTAACCTTTCTGAAAAGTTTCATTTAGCTAATTTGGCAGAAACCACTTATAATAAAACCAAATGTAACAAAACTCCTGATAAGTCTAAAATTCACTCTCAGATGACAGCGTGTACAAATCCAGTTGCAGGGATTTGATGTACTGATTTCAATACAGACACAGGATATTCTACAGGCTGTGCTTCTCAGGTTGCCACACAGCAGGAAAGGCTATCTTCTTTCCACTTAATTCCAAGCCCAAGGTTTTGGGGGGTGTTTTAGGCAAACATCAGATGCCAAGTGGAAAAATGGAAGGATAATTGAGAAAGGGGTTTTACTGGAGGTGTCTCCATAATCAAAGAGTTGTTCCTTCTTCACTATTTTTCTTCTACACACACACACACACACACACACACACACTTGCATACTAGTATCATGCATTCAAATTTATCTGGAAGAAACACAATTCTTCACTTCTGTGGTCCCAGTCATGAAATCAGGTTGAAAATTTGGCTATGAATTTGGGGGGGGGGGAGAGAGAAATGGATTATTCCAATCCTTTGATTACAAGAAAGACAGGGTCCAGCATCCACTACAGACATGCTATATATCTAAAACCTTTAAATAAATTCACATTTTCAGACAGTAGTGGCAAGTGGCCATTGCAGCTCTAACTATAACATGCTCAAAAACGCAAAAGAAAATTGCAGTAAAAACAAAGACAGATGTTCTAGATCTGGATAATATTTTTGCAGAAGATGGTTCCGCTGTCCCAGGACTATGACAGAAAAAGTCATCTTAGTTGTTACCTGTAATCTGACAGTGATAAATGCCCTTGCAGTAAATTGTCACTACTAGATCTCAAGATGCAGGAATGTTCAGATGGGAGAGAAAGCTGGCTTTCCCAAGATGCAAAGGGTTTTAAAGGTTAGCTTTTTGTTGGCGTTTGCCCAAGGTAGTTTGGAGAGTTTGGTTCTTGTCTGTGTGATAAGACATCACATCACATCTTAAGTATGCACCTTGAGGGAACTGCCCTTTAACATATCTAGGGTAAGTTTTCATCAAGTGTGCCAACTACTCCTTTCTCAATAGAGGGTAATTGCTTGGGATCACATCCAGTCCAAATGTGAGGAAAGCAAAACAGGTGCACTGTAGAATTTGCTTAGACCATTTCTCCATTTTTTCCCCTGGGTCTGTGAAGAATCTTACTTTCACAAGCATCAGCAAGTTTCCACAGTCCTGTCTGACCCCCCAGTTGCCCTGCCCATATTGGATGGAAGGCATTGCTTGAAATCTCAGAATTTTCTCTCAGTTGAATATATATGTCACCTTTGGCCAAGGCAGTTTACAATTTTAAAACCCTAAAACAAATACATGATATAAAAAGGTAGAGTGCCCCAGTCCTCTCAGGCCAACTGAGGACTGATGGTATGTGTGCTCCCTGACGGGGCTCCCTTGCTTCTGTCTTTCCTCAGGACACACAGCTCTTGGCAGCCCTTGGGAAGGTGGGGAGACAGCTGCCCCAACAGTCCTCTCAGGCTGCTGATGTCTCTTTTGGGAGCTGATGGTATGTGTGCTCCTCAGCCTGGCCTCCCTCACTTCTGCCTTTATTCAGGTCACAGAGAGCTGCAAGGCAGATGTAGGAGGAACTACCCCAACAGTTCTCTCAGGCTGTTGATGGTTCTGCCAGGAGCTGGTGGTTTGTGTGCTTTCTGGCCTGGTCTAGAAAGCTAGAAAAGCTATACTATGCCTTGGAAAGTAATGGAAAGTGGGGGGGGGGTGAGACTCACTCTCTCCATTCACACATAACAATGAATATTGCCTGAAGAGTAAATTAGGAATAATTATGTGGTCTGGAAATGTAAAGAATGCACTGAGGGAACAGTAACAAAAAGCCAGACACTGCAAACAAAACGACCTATGTGCTGTGCACTTTCACTTCTTATAAATGTGCAGAAGATAATCCCTATTGTTAACAGTGTAGTTCAAAGTGTCTGGGGCCAGCTTCTAGAATTAAGGGGGATTTTTGCCTGAGTATGAGGAGACAGGAAAGTGAGGCTTATTCCCCAACCCTACCCACTTCGACTCAGAAGTAAGTCCAACATGGCAGTTTTTCCTGGGTCATACCAATGCAGACTGAAAGGGGAGAAATAGTATGTTTGAATTCTCCTGATTTCCCATATTAAACGCATCTCCCTCTACATACAAAACAAATGTCAGGGAGAAAACTAGGCTAGAATTCTTTCTTGTGGCTCACTAGTTTCGTACGCACGTGCAATTTTTTTATATATAGAAGAAACACTGAAAGCTTGACTTACAGTGTAAAATGGGATATGCCTGGACAGCTGCAAAATGTCACTGCTTTGAGTATTTGTTCCCACTCTGGCTGACAAGATTCCATAGCTATTTGTCCTTGATTGCTTTGCCAGCGCATGTTCAATACTGTTACAATAAAGTAGCAGGGAACAGATCACATCAGAAAGGAGGTGCATACTTTGCGGTGTACGACAAATGCCTTATCCACTTAAAATACATTAATATGGATGAAATCAAGACCCTCCCAGGAAACATAAACACTTTGCATAATCAGCTGTGTCCCTTTGTAAACTACCAGGTCAAGCATATATGATATAAATATAATAACATTTCACCCCCATTGTTCAAAAGCAGAAACTTACCAATAAGGCAGACCAGGGTTCTATTTCCAAAAGTCATTTTGTACCTTCCCCAGGATTGTGTCAGCCTTCATACTCACATACCTGCATTTTTTATTTTTTACTTAGAAATGAGAGCTGTGAAAAAGGCATTTCAATCAAATAGATCCAAAGGTTGTCACAAGCCAGCCAGCCAGCCAGCCAGCCAGCGGGGTGAGTGCATCTGACTGTTTTTAGCCCCCGAGGGGAATTGGATGTTCCAAGACACAGGCGATAAGGACTGATAATCTCTTACTCCTTGTATTTAATTTGACTACATTTGTTTTCCCATTGCAAATCTGCCATGTGATGGACTGTCCAAGGAAGTTCAAGCTCGCTTGGAACTCATTTATGCCTGGATCCCACAATAAACAGAGCTTGCTTTATATGACATAATTTCGGGGCTATTTTTGTCACTCCTTTGAAGAAATGTGTTGCTCGCATGATTTCCACCCAGGTCACTCAATGTCAGATCCTCTGGCTTGCACTCCTTGTAAAATGACTGCTTTCCCCTCCCCCTTCTCTCTCTCTCTCTCTCCCTCACCCATCTCAGTTCAGTGCTTGGACAGCTATGACAAGGGGTCTAGTGTTTGCATTCTATTCTGGTCACTGTGAGTTATGGTGATATCATATAAACTAAAGGGTTCCAAAATGCATGTCAAATTAAACCACTGACTAATCCTCATATTTTGCTCGTCTTTCTGCTCCCAGGCTAAAGGTCTGTGTGTCCACAAAATCCTAACACTCTAATCTGTAGGTGCTGATTTGATTTTCAGCTGAAACTTCCTACGAGGAGAAATCACCATACGTGGCTTGTTGGCCCTGGGGGAATAAGAGCTAAACTTGTCTAAGAGTGAAATACACAGCTCGAGCAAAAGCTGCAGCAAAGTTCAGCCCTCCTCCTTCCATTCGTGATGCACCAGCAGCCACAGAAGCTCTATTTAATCAGCTTAAAGAGAAAGGAAAGCCACGGGAGACATCTGAGCTGGCACAAATCGTCACCTGATGCTGGCCAAGCAAGTGCTCTCATCTCCTGTGGACCATCTCCTGTGCCGGAAACAGAGGTGAGAGAAATGTCTGGAGGATGTTACTGAATTCAGCTTTATGAATGAATGAATGCAGGAGACAATGTATACTAGCAGGATGCTAAACTGGAAAGGGATGTGAAGGGCTCTATTAAGTTGAAGGAGCAGAGCTGATGGTTGTTCTTCAAGTGCTTCCTCGTCCAGTTGAGTTTCACAGCTGCAGTGTCTTTCCTTCTTTTCATTGACAAAAGGCTTTAGAGCATTTTGTTCTGCGCAATGAGTTACTTTCTGTCCTACTGCAAAGGACATTGTGGTTCTGTGTTGTCTCAGTACCAAACCCTCCGCAGCGAAGGCTTGTTGTGTGACATTTTGTTGAAGGTGAAAGAAAATGAGTTCCCTGCTCACAAGTCTTTGCTGGCCTGCTCCAGTGATTACTTCAGGGCAATGTTCAAGAGTTATACCAAAGAATCAAAGGCTGCCATCATTCACCTGCAAGTCATCTCAGCCACTGGTTTGCAACACGTTCTGGATTTCATTTATACTTCTTGGTTGCCTTTGTCTTTTGCCAGCCTGGAAGACACGTTGGAAGCTGCTACCTACCTGCAAGTGTCTGAGGCAGTTGTCTTGTGCAGCCAATATTTGGCTAACAATCTTACCCTAGAGAACTGCTGCTTTTCTGCCAATGTTGCTGCAAGATTCTATCTTCCAGATGCTTTGTCAGCTGTAGAAAAATATCTCATTTTTAATTTCTGGAAACTCCTAGACCTTGATTTTGCAGAACTGCTAGAACTGAATTTCAGATCTTTGAAGGCAGTAGTTGAATGTTCAGATCTGCCTATGGTGAAGGAATCTAATTTGCTAGATCTATTGCTGAAGTGGCTGAAGTATGATAAATTGAGGCTGACACATACAACTAGCTTATTGGAACACATACGATATGGTCTTATTCCTGTGGAAGATCTGAGAAAAGTCTACACTCAATCAGAAGTGCCACTAACAGCCCCCATAAAATGCTTAATCATAAAAGCAATAAACTACCACTCATTCATCTTTAGGCAACCTATCCTACAGGATAAGTACAGCACACTGAGAAACCAGAAGACGCGGATTATCCTGCTTGGAGGTATGATTCAACATGAAGGGCCCAGCAGGGATGTGGTGGCTTTTGATGTTTACAATCACAAATGGCAGATTTTAACACAGGTGCAGGATCGACTACAAAATCACTGTGTGTGTACAGTTGGGAACTTTCTGTATGTGCTAGGTGGAGAAATAGAAGATTTGCAAAGTGAAATGAAAAGTCCCACTTTAACAGTGACAAACAAAGTCCATCGCTATGACCCCAGATTTAACAAGTGGATACAAATCAACGGCATGCTAGAAAAAAGATGCCACTTTTCTTGTTGCATCCTAGAAAACACCATTATTGCAATTGGCGGTCAAGGTAAGGATGGATCATTACATTCATCTGTCGAAGCCTACAACATTAGCCGAGACACATGGACAAAAGTTCGAGATTTGCCATGCAAAATCCATGGTCATGCCGGCACTGTTTGCAAGAATAACATTTATATATCGGGTGGCAAATGCACAAATCAAAGTAACACAAGTAAGGATTTGTACTCTTTGACTACACTAGAAGGGCAATGGAAAAAGCAAGCCCCCATGAGCATTGCCCGGTTTGGGCATCAGATGGCCACCATAAGAGATTGCATCTTTACATTTTTAGGCCTTTATGAACCATTCTCTGAAATTGAAAAATACAATCCTGACCAAAATCAATGGACTCGTCTAAGGCCATTGGTCTATGATCGATTTAGTTATGGTTTGGCAGTAGTGGAGGAAACTGCCCTTCTCATTGGGGGGAAGAAGTGGCAAGATTCCCAGGAGATTCCAACTCAGGATGTGGTGGGCTATGATATAGACAATGACTGTTGGGAAGAAATATGCAAAGCTTCGTTGCCTTGGTATGGATTGCAGTGTGCTGTGCTAGAGCTTTCTGAATTACTAGATGCTAAAGACATTCAACAACAAAAGAGACTAACTGTTTAGGTAACAACTCACCATAAAATGATCTGCAAGGACAATTCCGTAACATCTCCAGAATGTCTAAATATTAAAAATGTTGTCCCATTCTATATTAAGAGATAATATTGTGAACCAGTAAATCGGCTTGAATTTTGTATTTCAAATCACAGAGTAAAACAGGCAAAGACTAAGAACTTGTTGCCAATAAGAGCTGTACATAAACAACTGTTTTGTTTTCAGTAATAACTGTGAATTAATACCTGATTTGCAGAACATAAAGCGAAGGCGTGAAGAAAGAGGCATACTGTAGTAAAAAAAATTAGAATGGAAGAATCCATTTATATGCCTCTTTCTGCATACCTTCACTTTATGTTTGAAGCAGGTATTCATTTGATACAGGAATTAGAGGCTGCATAATTGCATGATGTTATTATATTGTCCACATGATCCCAGTTCATTTTTTTAGTCGTGCCAAAGCTTCAGAATGGGGGAAAGCACTGCAAACTGCACAAAAAAAGCAAACAAAACTTTGCACTCCTTAAATTTCTGTCATGCTTTCCATTTTAATTGGTGAAATTTTGACACAGTTGTTCTAAACTAAGGCATAGAGTTAGCAGCTGGTCTAACTATTATAAGGTTGAGTGGAACATGAAATAATTGTATCTTGTATTCGAGAAATAACACCCTGTACTCTGTGCCCTTTAGGACCATAAATGGGATGGAGATGTTTGTTTCTAGTTGCTGAATGACTCTGTGCTTCAGCACACTTATAAAAGCTGCCCATGGGTATATTGTGCACGATGCATTTCTGTTTGAAGAGGTAAAGGAATTTTCTGCTTTGACTTCAAAAAGGCACCAGCAGCCTCTTTCTGCATTGCTGCCAGGGTAGGATGGGGTTTAGTAGTTTTAAGCCATGCCTCATTCACAGACTTGCAGATATGGCATTTGATTTCAGAGTGTGAAATCTGACTGTAACTTAACTTTATCATTTTAAATATTCGCTTTCAAACACAATCTATTTTATATCATATCCCTTTAGTCTGAAAGCACTGAAGATGCACAGAAGCACTACTCAGTCTAATGTACAAAGAAGGCAGCACAATGAAAAAAACGATGGCACTCTTTCATGCCAGACAGTCTTACAAGATGAGGCTGGATTTTATGCTTGGAACGAAGTCACAAACACTGTCTACAGCAAGATAACATGCAGGCAGAATTACTGTTGCATAGCAACAGGATGCAGTTGTATAAGATGCCCTATAGGCCAATCCTAAGAATTTGTTGGCATGGTCTCACTCTGTACCAGTGTTACACAGCCAACTGGGTCAAGGAGGGGCACTCATTCTAAAGTTTCTGGGGATCCTCAATTTCCCATAAACCCACCAGTTCCTTGTATAAATTTAAAAGACTCCTAGCTGTACGGCATTTGTAATCCTTTTCTTCCACAGAGAAGCTTCAGTGTAGGAAGAAACATGTAGCTCATGAATATATTTTTTTAACTTTAGGAAAATAGTACAGACATTTTTAAAAATTCCAGGAACGTCTAATGTTATCTGTTGCAATACATATTCTTTTTTCTATGTTAAGTTTTAGGTTCTTGGTTTGTGTTCATTATGCTGTATTGGACTGTGCTTTTATTGTATTTTATGCTGCGATCCATGCTGTGGATACTGTGAGACAGTGTGGCAGGATAATTCAATCAATAAAATAAGAGCAACAGTGTCAGATGATCACACACATGTGAATTTAATCCTGTGTGTGAAAGAAGCTATGATTGGTCACACCTTTTCAGATTGTTTACTGGAAAGCCTTGAGTAGCCCCAGCTTCACAGCTGTACATTGAACTAAATACAAACATTAGCATATGTATCTACTAGATATAACCTTCATACTTTATCAATGAAGGAAGGACTTTCTGTGTAGGAGAAACATGTGAGGTAAAGGTCTACACTGATCTTTCACCTTTCTACCCAGAGAAATTTTTGCCTGCAATTTACAACATAAAGCTGTAACCCACAACCTACAAGAATCTTATGAAGCTACAGATTAAAGAATTAGGAACACAAGGAGATGGTTTAGAGCAGAGGTTGTCAACCTGGTCCCTGCCGCCCACTAGTGGGCGTTTCAGGATTCTGGGTGGCCGGTAGGGGGTTATACAGCACAAGCTGAATCCTCCTTCCATCAAGCACTGGTGGGCAGTAAGGAAATTTTACCAACCAGAAAGATGCATTAGTGGGTGGTAGGTATAAAAAGGTTGACTACCCCTGGTTTAGAGTCAGACTGTTGCTCTATCTAGTCCAGGGTCAGCTGCAAGCAGATCTCCAGGGTTTGAGACAGGGGACATCCTCAACGTTACCCATAGATGCTAGGGATTGAACCTGGCACCTTTCAGATGCAAAGCATGTGCTTTACCACTGAGCTATGGCCATTTCCTATTTCTATGCAGGATACTATGCAATTCTGGTACGATGCAGGAGTCCTTATTAAACTATTAAGTGATCCTGTTGCAGGTTGATTTTGACCATAAGGCTATGGTTATGTCTAGAAATATCACTTGATGTACATTGCGAATTCATAAAATGTAGAGGGGGGATGCAGCAGGAGTCAAAAATCAACATTAGGAACAATTAACACGATCGTTGTTCAAGCATTTTTATGTGAGAAATATACAAAATATCACAAGTTATAACAAACAAATCATGCAGTCAAATAATTTGTTTATACAAAGAGATTCTTATAGATGATATAAATAGTTGACCGGACCTGTAAATTCATACAAATCTTAATGCATGAATTGCCATTCAGTCTTAATTGAATACAGATTTACGTAAAATTAGCTGTAAAAAGGCCACTCTCCTGTACAGTTGTGCAAAGTTTGCAAGACGCTTGGAATCCAAAATGCAGCTGAAAAGAAACAAGCAATCCTTTGATCTTTTTTTAGTCCCAAGAGCAGAAAATAATTGTGCTCTTAAATGTTTATAAGTACATTCACTGCATTGAACAGGCTATAGCTGGAAGCTAGCTGAGAGAGTACAATTCATAAGAAAGAATGGTTTTAAAAGATGTATCCCATTTGGGGGTTTATCAGCTCATCTCTCAACTTCTCCCATCTGCAGAAAAGCATTAAGAAGCCACAAGGACTTTTTCTTTTGTCATGCTCAGTCTTGGCAAAAATTAAGGTGCTGATAGATAGAGGGCATCTCTAGCCAGGCACAGATGGGTTTAATCATTAATGCTGCAACTTCTGTAGTATTTTTGCTTATTGGGAAGCTGACTGTATGGGGCATCTCCAGACCAATTTTGTGGCAAGCATGTAGAGTGCAGCCAACCCCCTGCAATACAAGGGTCTCGTGATACGAAGGTACCTAACATTCTTCTGGAGGTGTGAGGAATGAACTTTGCTTCCTAGCATCTCCCAAACATCATCAGCACAAAACAAAGATTTTTGCTAATGTCATTCCAGGGCGAGTCTGATTGAGGGTGAACAGGCAACATGTAGCTCTCATGCATTACCTTCCTCAGATGGCTTAGCTATGCTAAGGAAACTTCACCCATCCTTTTCCCAACACTGGAGTGTCCAGTGCTGCTACTGCTGCCTTGGAAACTACAAGTGGCCACTGTAAGCAGCACCCTCTCCCTCACTACCTCCCCTGATATTCCAAGGAGAGGGAAAGCTACTTCCTGTTACCAAGAGTTTAGATCAGTTCCTGCTGCTGCCCTTCATCTGCCCACCCTTGCTCGCATATGCTCCGAGAGAGAATGCAAAACGAACTGAACAAGACAAGCAGCGTGTCAATTTCATCTCCTTCCTCCCTCAAAAACACACCAGAAGGTATATGCATTCTAGTGCTTGCTCAAGGATGCAGACTATAGGTGTGTATGCATTTATATTGAACGTGGAAATTGATAATGCTACCACCCCCTTCATCTGTGCACTCCAAAATAAAAAGATAAAATGGAAAAGGCCTGTGTCCATTTAACCCTAATTTCTCTAGCTAAATTTGCTACCTTTTCAACTCCAGGAGCTCCATAGCAAAGGATAGTATTTCCCTCCAAAATGTTAATGGTGAAGAGACAGAAGGGTGGGATAACATACGATCGCCATGCACATCACAAGCCACACCTCCACATCGCAAGGGCACTAAGTTGTTTCACATCTGGAAAGGCCTGCACTGGACCTCTTGCACTGGAAACTCAAAGATTACCTGCAAATCAGACAATGGGATGACAATGGAAAATAAATAGGAGTGCAATAGTTTGGGAGAAACATTGTATGGATTCTGAGGAACGCATGAATGAGAAGAAACGTTAAAGTGCCACTGGTTACAGTCATGCCACTTGTGCTAACATAATAATCCATTTCACATGGCATGCAAGTAATTCTGTATCAATATGGATCTTGTTTTGGATAGAGGAATATCCCACTGAGCCTTCTTTCTGCTCAAATAATGATTTCTGGGAATTTTGTATGACTGAATTTGCATATAATGCTAAGCCACAGTTTATTGCTGTGTGGAGAAGCTTCAACGAGCGTGATGTCAGGCATATGTATTCCGCCTCCCCCACCTCCTCCTGATGGAAAGATGACTTCTGGCAAGCATAGTTTCATTTTTAAAGTATCTAGGCTTATAGTTATGTTGAAACCAGGGATCCTAGTTTAAAACAAACTCTGGCTTCATAATGCATTGTTTGAAGCTGAACTATTAGGAAACTGGCCAGAGTTTGTTTTAAATCAGGATATATGGTTTGAATATGACTATAATCCAAGATTCTTTAAAAGTGGAAGTAAACTAGTCACAAGTCCTCCTCTAGCTTACAGGAGGAGGAGAAGGGATGGAGGCATCTATGAGCCTAACTCTTTACTCAAGCTCATGGGGCCTTTTCATGGAGCACTATGGCATGTTTTTGTGTTATGTAGGAAAGCAGCCTATTAAGGAAACTGAGAACCACATTACAGTGGTGCCTCGCAAGACTAAAAGAATCCGTTCCGCGATTCTTTTCGTCTAGCGGTTTTTTCGTCTTGTGAAGCAACCCCATTGGCGGCTAAGCGGTTTAGCGCTATTAGCGGCTTAGCGGGCTTAGCGGCTAAGCTGTTAAAAGCCTATTAACGGCTTAGCGGCTTTGAAAAAGGGGGGGAAAGCGGGGGGGAAATGGCGAGACTCGCAAGACGTTTTCGTCTTGCGAAGCAAGCCCATAGGGAACTTCGTCTTGCGAAGCGCCTCCGCGACGGAAAACCCTTTCGTCTTGCGGGTTTTCCATCTTGCGAGGCATTCGTCTTGCGGGGCACCACTGTAATTGTGTATGGAAATTTATGTATTTTGATAATGTGCTGAACCTATGCCCCCTTCCTATTTACCAGAGTTTTCAGAACATCTCATATTTAAAGCAGGAATTTACGTGAGCTGGCACATTTGAAACATTTTAAAGTTTGACTTAAAAAAAATCACTGAATGGAAACTTTTGGTTAACAGTACAATATTTTTTTTTCTGCAAAAGAGTCAGAAGAGGCTAACATAGGGCAATAATATTGTACAGTCAGGTCTCTGCCATACCTGAAACAAGGAGAGCCCTTTATCCTCAAATTAAATCTGTGCTATAGGTTGTCTGTTAACCATCCCCCAAAAGACTGGAAAAACGAAACTTTGACTGTTTAATATATAATCTAGCTTATGAAAGTCCAGTTTACCCCTCTTATTCCCTGACTGTTTTTTTAAAATGCAATCCTAATCACAGCATTATACTTTTTTTCGTTTTTTAAAATATCTAAAATATTCCACCAAATATAAAAGTTTAATTCCCACACTGGCCAAAACAAAGGCTGTATTTTGAAAGTGTAACTCATTACAACAGTTAAGATACTATTAAAATAGGAAACATATTTGACAATCAGTAATAAAACACTGTTCTTGTGCCATCTTTTCACTTGATAAATCAATGTAATCCTCCAAAATATATACTCATTAAAATATATATATTTTAATCCTTAACGACAATGGTCACGATCCAAGGAAAGCAACATGCATGTGTTTCTCTTCGGTTTAAAAGTAGTTTAGACTCTTCAGCACCAATATCAAACAAAATGTGCAGGATTCTGTCCCACGAGTGCATATTCCTTCTTTGGATCGTAGCCAGTGTTTGTAAACATAAACATAAACTGAGCATCAGAAGCGTAAAAAGTATGTAAGTATTTATCGCACAATGACAATGGAATTTTTACTTTACTCATATCATAAACAATAAAATAGATCTCCTGTCAGTCGATATAAAAGCTACTCAGTGTACTTGATAAAGGTCTGAAGTGCCACAAAGAGGCAAAATCATTTTCTTTTATACATGTGTTTCAATATAGGAATGTGTGTGCGCTAAAGAGTCTAGAAGAGCATCAACTTCATCAGAGTCATTTACAAGGTCCTCTGAAGGGTTGTTCTGAGAACTATCCAGAAACAGGTCAAGGTACATTTGTTTCCAGTCTTGAAAGTCTTTAGATGTCAAATCTGGATTATCCAGAATTTTATCTATGATGGCTACTTCTTCTTCTCTGGCCTGGAAGAAAACAAAAAGATCTATTCAGAATGGGGAACGAAGTACCCTTCGTCTTGGCTTGTAAGCTTTTAAAGAACATGCCT